TTGTACATAAGAATTCTAGAGGCTATTTTAGTCCACAATACTAGCTAAGGAGACAAGATTATCTCAAAAGTAATATACTGGAACCTCAAAGAAATGAACACCAGCGCTGCAGACTGGCCAGTAAACTGGGCAGAGTGTGAAACCAGAAGTAATCCATCATGCAGTAGCAGACTTTAAAAACAAACAAACCCAAACACTGTAATGCAACTTAAAAGTAGAGCCACTCCCACCCATGGGGCAGCCACTTACAGCTAGGCTACAAGGTGAAGTTGTTGGGGCTACCTGCCTAAGGCAGCTGGAGCTAGCAGAGCAGGAGCAGCACTGGTGTCTATGCTGTTTTCACCCCTTCTCCTGCTTCCCCCACTGGAAGAGAGAGATGCTGTGCTCTCCCCCACCCCTTTCCCTAGCTGGGAGTGGGACACTGGTTTGACATACACACACATACCCCTGGCAGGGGGAAAAGGTGGAGAAGGTAACAAGCTTGCAAACTCAGTGTGACCCAGGGGAAGAAGCTGCCTGCAAGGAAGCTGCCAACACTGAGGAGGGAGCTCAACTACTGCTAGAGCCTGGCCTGGTGTGTCAGCTGCTGGATCTGGAGCCTGAACTGTGATTTGTTCAGAGTTATGAACATTTCAAAGTTACCAATAACCTCTGTTCCCGAGGTGTCCATAACTCTGGGATTCTACTGTACTGAAATTTCTTCAGTAATTTGCTGTTTTTGTGGACTGGTAGTTTCCCAGTACTGGTCTCATACCTTACATTTGTCCCCTCTTGATTTCATGCTATTGCATCCCTCAAGATTTATTCTGAAAGATTAAAAGTGGCTGTTCATATCCTTTACGTTTTTCTTCTCTACAATAAAAACCACCTGTGTGTACAATTTCAAAGCAAGTAATATAGGTCTTGCAGATGGAGGAGACAGTGTCATGAACAGACAATGCACCAGAGGATCTGAAAGTTGTAAGGAGAGTACATCATCTTCTTTCTGAGATTTACTATATGCAGCTATTGATAACCATGTTACAAATGCTATTCTGACAGCATCAGATTTGTAAGAGCTGTAATACAATTTTGGTGAATTTCAGAATGAGGGGGCTTGATTTTTGTTCCTTAGAATTCTCTGCTTTCACCCATAGGAAAAATTACTATTTAGTTTACTTGAAAATTTCAAAGAGAATTGCTGGCCTATATTTACATTCAGTAGAACCAGCCTATCTTCTCTTTCTCCTACCCAAGACAACTGGCAATTTTAGCTCAGAGGAATGGTATATCAAGTCTAGTATTCTATCTTCAGTGGTGTCCTGTACGTAATACAGAGGCAAAACTCCTGTAACTGCTGTAACTCCTGTAACTTGTGGTGATGATCAAGTATGAAATTTGAAAACCCCATCTTAGCAATTATGTAGTGACTGTTTATAGTGAAGTAAAATTAAAATTCCAGAATTTGCTCACTATTTCAGCTTACAATCTACAATTCCAATTATACCCATTTTAAATAGTAAAGTTATTTTTGTGGGGCTGAGTGGGAAGATGTTGTGTGTGTGTGTGTGTGTGTGTGTGTGTGTGTGTGTGTGTGTGTGTGTGTGGATTACTTATTTTTGTTGTTCCCTGGATTTACAGGTATTAAAGAAAGATGAAAACGTGCCATGGACTGGAACTCTGGCTATTGTTCATTCCTATGTTACTCATAAAACAGGTACAGAATGGCATGATTCCTGATAAGAAGCTTTCTGGTCCTTGGTTTCACCTTTAAAATGGAAGTAACTGTCTAACTTCGAATACTGTTACGGGTTTAAAGTCATGTTCGTAAGTTGCACGGGTGAGCCAATGCTCCGTAAGAGCAGTGGTGGTGCCTATTAGTCAGTATTACTAAATGTTTTTTTCAATTTCAGCCCATTTTTCTTTCACACACAATTTTTTATAATATTTACCATTTAGCTGAAGTTTTCCATACTTAGGGTCTACACTGCACCATTATTTTGAGATAACTAGTGTTATTTCAAAATAACAGTGTGAGTGTCTACACAGCCATTCCATTTTTTCAAAATAAGTTTTAAATAATGGACGGCTTATTCTGAAATCTGTAAATCTCATTCTACAAGGAATAACGTCTATTCTGAAATAGCTATTTTGAAATAAGGCATGTGTAGACACTCCACTTCTGGTATTTCAAAAGAGCCCCTCACCAGGGCCATTTTAAGTTATTCCTCCCCAATGCCTCCTGGGGCTCTAAATCGAGATAGCACATTTACATTAGGGAAGCCTGCCTCGGACTAATTTTGCGGCTTCCCTGCAGTGTAGACGTGCTATTTCTAAATATGCTATTTCAGAATAACTATTCCAGAATAGCTTATTTCGAAATTAGTGTGCAGTGTAGACATACCAATAGTCATGGATTGAAGAGTAATTGTTTTTTTTCAGAGTTTGAAAGAAAAAAAATCTTTGGTGAGACACAAAAATATACATTTTTCAAATTCTGAGGTTGAGTGAACAATTTTTTTTTTTTTTTTGGTAGAGATGCTAAACAAAAAGAAAACAAAAATATTGTTTAGAATTTTAACAAAAATGAAACACTTCCGTTCAGGTAAAAACCTTTTGTTTGCCTATTCAGAAATGTCAAATTGTATTGATTCAACATTTCATTTAGAAATTAATCATTTCCATCCAACACTATCTTGAAACAGTTTTAGATTTTTTTCAAAACAAAACCTTTAGCTATTTTCCAAATGTTTGTGTTCATTTTTTTCATCCAAACTGCTCACTGAATTTGACCCCAATTCACAAATAGTTTTTGGTGTCCCCACAAATGCACTTTTTGTGGCAAGTTTACTGTTCGCCAAGATTTTAAGGCAAGCTCTAATTCTAATTACACTTTGGACTACAAAGGCAGTGTAAAAATTGCTTATGATTGAAAACATGAAACTTGACACGAACTCAGTCCTTGATAAGAACTAATGCCTTTGCTTTAAAAAAGCGTTGGTTTTGATTTAATGTTCTAAAACTGTGTACCTAGCATTTGTCAGAGGAAATATCCTTAAATGAACTTGTGTTGCCCTGATCTGGTAATGTAATCTCCGCCTTCATTTCCCTAGCTAGAAAATAGGGATTCTATAGTCTCTCAAAAGCGTGTTCTGGAATAATGTCTGTCCTGAACTGGAACCATTTCAAAGGTGAGAGAGAGTTGTCTTATGTGTAGCTGAAAACTACGTTTCCTTGGCTGTGCATTTTGAGATGGGATTGGGAAGACCTATGGAAGTCTCCATCTAGAACACTTGTATTCTCATGAGTCAGCATACACCATTTTTTTCAGTCTTTGCCTTAACATCCATTCTAAACCTTAATTGTTTTACAGTCAAAGAAGAAGAGAAGAGAAAATTGTTAAAGAAAGGCAGCGAGCTGAAGAGTGAACATAGACAGTTAGAAGAGAAAGAGAGACTGCTCAACAATGCAGTTAAAGTAAGACTACAGACTATGGAGCATAATGTCTCCTCCAGAGTTGGTTATAAAGATCTATGCTTGAAAAACTGAAATTTGATTGCTGGGAAGGAGTTATGCTCACAATCTCTGAATGTTCAAGTGTGAATATGTTTCTTTACAAAGAAACATATATGGGTCTCTTGGGGGGAGGGAGAGGAGGTGAGCTAGATACACTGGCAGGTTGAGAAGCAGAAGGAGGCAGTGGCAGATCTGCTATTGGAGCACTTCTCCACTCAAATGTCAAAACAGAATTAAACATATCCTCTACCCTATGCTATAACACAAGTCAGAGCTGTTTAACTACTGTATAGCAGTTCCTAGCTTTCACAAGAAAGGTCTGTGCATGACCAACCACTCCAGTGCCAAAAGGTTAGGTAGATATGATCATTGTCACCACTCTCAAAAGGTCTAGTATTATAGCAATTTTCAGCATCTCTTACAGGAACTAGAACCAAATGTTCCTAGAGGGGGTCACCCAAGCCATACCCTGATTCCAGATATGAGTGTACACTGCTCCTACCAGTCCCTGCCATTCTAGAGAGTGTGAGCCTGGGCTCAGAACCCAAATACCTAGCTGCCATGGACATCAGGACTTTCTTAAGGCAGTGCTATCTGACCATAACCACACCCCCTAAGCTATAGGACTATTAATAATTAGAATTGGCACAGAAGCAGAATTAGGTGCTGGGAAGCATTCTCTCTTAGCCCTGGTGTACACTAGGGAGTTATTTTGAAATTACAAGAGGAGCGTCCACACTACCAAGCCCATTACTTTGAAATAAGGGGCTAGATGTGGTTATTGGCATCCTTGTCACTACGTTTACTGGCTTTAAGTAAAGGGATTTAAAACAAACATTACTTTATTTAATCACCCTAAAATGGACTGAAATATGTGCCACATACAAAATACACCAAAGTGTATTTGATTGGAAGGTTTTATTGAAATCATTTGAGAAGACTTACAGTGCTTTCTTGTGACTTTGCCACTTTTTAGTAATGTGACCATTGCAAACTCATGCCAAGAATCTGTAGACTGCCATCATGCAATCACGTATTCTTCCTGTCTTTCAACAAGATACAGTCAAAAGTGCCCTAAGTGTGAATATTGTTGCTAAGGCAGGTAATGAACTAATGGGTGGTATTCTATTAGCTATGCTTGTGTTTCTGCTATCCCTAAAGAACAGCAGCATTTGTCTGAGATTGACATGTTCTCCAGACATGTAAAGCATGTTTGGAGAGATGTTGCCAATCTGAATGTATTCTCAGTCTCTCCTTCCCTTTCCCCATCTCTCTCTGTAACAGAAATGCTTAGAGCTCAAAAACAGCCTGTTGGCCCAGCAGAAAGGGACTCAGTCATCGCTGGAACGTCTCAAAACTCTCATTAGACTGATACAAAATGAGCAGATGATTCAGGTTACCATGACAACAACCACCACCTCCTCCCTGCTAACTGTCCCCTGGATCAAACCCTCATCTGCCTCTGCTGCCATGCACAAAGCGTTGCAGCAATCACAGGGTAACAACTGACAGAGCTGTCTGGAAAAAAATGGAAAAAAAACTTTATACACGCGCAAAGGAGAGATTAAACCGAAACAAAGGGAAATGAAGGAAACAAAAAACAATCTCATTTTTGACATATGTAGAACTTAAACCAGTCAGTCCAGTTTGTAGGTCACTGTGGCAGCAACTTCCCACAAAGCAGATTTTGCTGCAGTTCTGTATTTGCCAAGACCTTCAGTGCTAAAGAGATTTGTTTTTGTTTTGTTGGCCTTAATGTATTTATGAATGAGAAGGAAAAGAAGAAGTATGGCTGATAGAAAGTGAAGTATCCTTTTTGGAGGGCAGACAATTTTACATGTCTGATTTAAAGGGAAAAATGTTAAATACAAAGGGTTAGGAAACTAGTAGGGAGGTAGCTGGGCTTAAAGCTCTTGGCGGGAGGAAACTGGTAATATAAAAGAACCGGACCTACTTAGGACTTGACATGGATTCTTAGCAAAGTGAACAGGTCTGCCTCACTGATTCAGGTGAAATGGAAATGGGCTGTTTGACAGGAATGACGTCATGGACGCTCATAGAGCCTTTAAAACAAAAAGATCATTTTTTTCAGTATTATAGCTGAATTGCAGATATTTAAATTAAAAAACTGTATGAAGTTAGCATTTCTAGTAAAATATTGAAGTATTTTCATGCTGATGCTTCTGTATATGCGTTCTGAAGTATTTAAAGAGGTATGACTGTAAAACTCCTTACTTTTTTGCAGGTCCTTTTTACTTATTTTGCTATTGATGTATTTTTCTCATGGAGTTTTTGTGCAAATTTTAGCATAAACCATATAGTGGATAGCTTTGGCAGGTTGGGTTAAATTTTTTTTGTTATGTTTTGAACCTATTTTTTTTAATAAAAGCAAATAAAGATTGTTTTTTTTTCTTTTCTTGCCAGTACAGATAATATGCCAAAAATAATTTTACATTTTTGTACTGCATTTTTATTGTAAAAATAGGTAACATGGATAAAAGCTGGTGGGTTTTTTTGTTTTGTTTTGTTTATTTGCAGGAATATCTGCAAAAATGGTACAGGAAAAAAAACTGCCTCAAGGGGTTGTTTATCATATTGGATAATAGCAAGAATTTTGGGGGAGGGGTGGTTTGTGGAAAATTAAGGGTTTGCTGGCTTTTTGGAAACTCGAGTCCTTTTTAAAATTTTATTGATTTGTAACACATTTGAAAATGTTTAGCATTAGTCTGAGAATATCCTAGAGCTCCTGCTTGTTTCACTAGCGAGTCTTCCTGATACTACAAGGGTCAGTCTGGCGCCTTAGTAGGTCACAGGCCTATAATGTAATCCTGAGGCCTAGCTCAGAAGTTAGTGATGGGCAACCCCTTTTCCTCTAACAATGCCGAGTTTCACACAACCACTAATTCCATTCTCCAAGCCTTTAGCTACGTAGCACAACAGGTATTAAGTAAAACAAAAGCAAGGAACCACTGGAGCATGACACAGCTAGTCTCTCATATCAGCATATGACATGGTGCCGAATGTGATTTTTTTTTTAAAATGAGGGACTGGCCTTTTCAGTTGCCCATCACTAGGCAGCACATGGTCCCTTCAACCATTTTCACAACTCCGGGAGAAACTGTGCAGTACTATACAAATCTATTTTAATACACTTAACACTCAGTTGAACAAGATTTTTATATTCTTTTATTGATGAACAAAGTGAACTAAGTAAAACACAATTGTTATACATTGATTATTGTATGCCAATTATGCATTCTAATGTGGCTTGCAACGTAAGTGTTTTCAGGTTTAATGTTTTTTTTTTCTTCTCAGACAAATTAAAAAAGGAAAATATGGAAGGTTGAACATGTGAAGAATTTCTGAAGACATGTCTTGGACTGTTAAAGTAGTTATTTTGAAAAGGGGACTGTCCAGTGGATAGTGTGCATAGAAAAAAAGTGTTTGTCTTAAATATGCCAATGTAGTTTTTCTTCTTTATGATGCATTAAACTTGACTGACAATTTAATAGTGGTGTGGACGGTGTGATATTCATTCTTTCAGGAATCCAACCTGGCTGCAATCCTTCAGTCCCTTCTCAGACCAAACACCTCCAGAGATTAAGGGAAGCTCACAGTCTTTAAAATAATCTTTGACTCCTCCACCTCCATACGAATTATATGTTCTCCAATAATGCATAGGCACTGTACTTGCAGATTACCAATGCACATCATAATGGCATACTACAGTGTCTAACAAAAAAAGACCCTATCCCTCCATAGAGCGCACAATGTATATAATCATTTTCCCCTTCCCCTATTGACATTCCTGTTTCTGCTCCTCTTTACCATCCTTTGTGGTGCAAGTCAATGTAGCAACTAAGATCAGTGGGATGGGGCCTTGTACTGGGATTATCCATTTTCTATGTGATTGAAGAAAAGAGTATTGGAGGAGCAAGAAAAGAGACATTGCTAATGCCTGATATAGATGCATAATTACAATAACTAAAGCTGGCTTGCTAACCAAGTGGGGCATACTGGCACTCCTAGGTATGGCAGATTGGACAGGCTTGATTTTTTTCCTAGCTCTTCATCCTCATACTGTGTCAGTGTTTAATTTCAGGCGAGTGTTGCCATGGGAATGTAGAACTATTGCACTGTTTCCAGGGGATTGGTGTGTTTTGTCATACAATTTTCTTCCAATTCCATGAGACACCTCTGCCCCAAAACAGAACCAGTCTTTTAATGGCCATCAACATAATGTTACCCTATAAAGCTAGCACTCTACGAGTTGCAGGAGCCAATTACAGTGCTCAGCATGGTGGCTTATTAATTAATATGTTGTAGCCTTTAATCTTTAGTAATAATTCAAATGATGGTGTTGGTGGAGAGCGCTGTAGCAGGCACAGTAGCCTCAAACTAGCAAGCTCTGGCACCAAGCAACAGCCTTTGAAAACAGTAACAGTGTTGGGATCCTCCTGCCCTACTGATAAAGATTTATTTTAATCAGACCAGGATCACATCATTACAATATATGGCAAGACTCCTGTATGATGCCTTTTCAGAGCCTGCTAGTTACATTACAGAGGGCTCTCAAATAGCTATGTGAAAGACTGATAGTGTCCAGTCTGTTATATGAGCACTGCACCTCTCTAAATGTCATTTTGGTTTCTTTGTCGGAAGGGTACACAACTACTGAACGCGAGCTGCTCAGGTACTGTAGAAATAGTTCATAGATAGGGCCAGCCTTACTGGGTGTAAGCAACAAACAAGAACGCGATTCCCAACTTGTTTATACCAGGTTGTCAGCTATCTGCATAGAACTAGGGACGTTAGATATCAGGTAATTGAATAGTCGAGTAACCATATGAATTCTTATTGGTTACTCGAGTAATGCACTCCAGCCCCACTCTTCGGGAGCCCCCTACTATGCCGCGCTGCTGCCACAGATGGGCTGCTGTGGGAGGTGGAATAGCCTCTGTCTGCAGGGAGCGTTGAGGTCTGCCCCACTCTGCCCACCCCAGGTGCAGCAGAGCAGCCAACACCAGCTGCCCCAGGGATAGAGCTGGCTCCCGTGTTGGAAAGGCAGGATAAGGGATGCCCTGAAGGCAGGAAGGTGAAATGTGTTCTAGAGGGGCTGCTGCCAGAGACCACCCTCTGTCTGCAGCAGTCCCAGGCTTGCCACAGATAGAAGCTGCTCCATAGAAGACGTAGCAGCTTCTGTCTGCAGGGTGCTTGGTACCACTTTGGACAAGGCCTGCTTCACGGCAGCCTCCCCTGCTCCCCTCCCCACACTGCAGAGGTGGAGGGGGAGGTGGCCCCACAGGGCTGGTGCTGGGGGGATCCAGCTTTTACGATGGCTCCCCCCAGCACTAGCTCCTGCTCCCCCCCCCTTGCTGCTTCTGATTCAGAGGCAGCAGGGGCTGGGGAATGCATGGGATTGACAAAATTAACCAATCCGCTTGGGCTTATCAGTTAATCATATAGCTGACTACACATTGACATCCCTACATAGAATCCCAGTGTTGTCTGCTCTTTATGGCAAGCTTCTTGCTCTTACGTTTTTTTTCTTATATAATCTAGGAATTCAGTCTTTCACATTTTTTTTAAATTAAGTTTCTAGCAATCATGGATACAGCGCAAAACTTTAAAATGTAAGTTGTCATAGACCTGCTGTGGTCCACTTGCGAGCTGCATGTGGCTCCTCCCCTTCCCCCCGAGAGTGTGGCTCATGAAGCTTGCCCCCTCGGCTCATAAAACCACGGCTCATAAAGCCGGCCTGTGCCCCTGAAAACTGCCCTCCCCTCCTGGCTCCCTGTGCTCACTGGAGTATTAAAGATGGCACATCAGCCTCTAAATACATTTTCTTAAAGGGGCTTTTTTTAATTTATTTTTTTACTCAACAATTTTACCCAGGCTCTTTATCTTGGCTCTTTGCCCGGAATGGGTTAGCCACCCCTGCCATAGACCCTAAGCAGCTCAGAAACCAAGAAGCAAATGAAAACTCATTAGATTTTTTTTTTTAAACAAATATACACACACTCTCTGGCTACGTCTAGACTGGCATGATTTTCCGCAAATGCTTTTAACAGAAAAGATTTTCCGTTAAAAGCATTTGCAGAAAAGAGCGTCTAGATTGGCACGGACGCTTTTCCGCAAAAGCCCCGATCGCAAAACAATAATGTATTGTCTACACTGGCCCTCTTGTGCAAAAGCATTTGCACAAGAGGGCTTTTGCCCGAACAGGAGCAGCATAGCATTTCCACAAAAACACTAACAATCTTACATGAGATCATCAGTGTTCTTGTGGAAATTCAAGCGGCCAGTGTAGACAGCTGGCAAGTTTTTCCGCAAAAGCAGGTGCTTTTGCGGAAAAACGCCAGTCTAGACGCAGCCCCTAGTTTTAGGCCAATCGCAGGTCATCCCTAACTCATGATTTATGAGCACTTGGGACTGGCACTACTGCAATTACATCCCCATTCTGCCACCAGTTGTGTCTAAAGCTAAGGGTGACAAGACAAAAACAACATCATATGCAGACATACCCAGAGTATGTTGGTTTGATGGCCTATTGCTGAAAAACAAAATTAAATCCTGCATCTGTTACTCAGCACACTTCATTCTGTATTCTGCAGGCTCTCTGTAGTTACAAAGGAGAGCGTTATCTGATGTGGCTGTTGCCACTCATTTCAGACTAGTCCTATTCACTTTAATCAGATTTTACCAACTGCAGCCCATTTCACCTGAAAAATGAAACCCAGGCATCTGACAGCAATCAGAAGAGACTGATTGGGATAAGCAGAAAATGCCAGACTCTGCCTCTCTAAGCCACTTTTAAGTTAACCACAGTGAATACCATTAAAGTTCAGAGGTTTTTATTAACATTAAATTGTCATGATGGAGACTACTACACAGAGTATGCAGGCATATAAAAATTCCTAGAGAAAAAGATGGTGTTGGGCTTTGAATTTGCTGTTTGCATTTTTATTGAAGGATAGTAGGTGACTTTGTTGTTGTTCAAAAGCCGTAGAAACACTGTACTGGCACTTTGATCATCAATGTTCCTCATTAAGCAGTTACAGCTCAAATTTTCAATCATTTTTGCCATTTCGTCTGTGGGACTTTCATCTCTTACAGCCCCATTCATTCACATAGGAGACAACTAGTTAATAACAATTGCAATGCCAATGTTGTTATCAGAGGCTGCCTTGGTATTATAATGTATGGTAAGTGGTGATAATGAAACACACTAAGCTTCCTCTAGTTTCTTTTATGGTTGGTATTTTCCATATGGCGAAACTAGACATGATTTTAATGAAGCACATAATCAAAATATTGCAAAGGGTTTACTCTGTTACCACAGTGGCACTAGTATTTACAGGTTTCATTGCATGCTTTCTGTTGTAAAGGCTGGCAGCTAGAAATCAATTCTAACAACTAAATACTGTATCACTATATTTCCAAAGGGTTTTCACAGGCACAAGTCACCAAACTCCAGCTGAAAGGGTCTCACTGCCATTGTGATTGTAGACAAAACCAAAACCAACCAACACTGTAGAGGTGGACATGGTTGGAGGAACCCACCTAGCAACCCAGTGCATGTACCATTCTTAAGGCAGTGACACTTTCTGATGCTAGTGAATCATTTCCCAGCCAGGCAGTTGTTCAGATCCCATTCTTCAGAAGCCAAAGTGGAGCATGATCTACACACATATATATAATTCTTAAATGCAAGCCTGTCATATGAATCTAGGTACCCAGTCTAGATTTACTAAGGAGACTGCTTCCCTGGGTTTGAATCACTGATGAATGACAGTTACTAACACTCTTGCTATTTCTCCACCAGAAAGTTGGAATTCATTTGTGTTGTACATGAAACTACTGAAAGTAACTGATGCATTATTAGTGTGGATCTTATGCCCCTGCCCATAAGCTAGTCACTAGAAGGTATTCCACCACCTAATGGTGCTAAGCCATTTTAAGGCTTTGCAGGAAGGGAAATTTTATGTTGGTTGATTTGTACTTTAATAAAATGGAACAGTCAGAGTTTGAAGAAATCTTTTCTTAAATTGCAGCTAGAAAAAACATTTACTGGATTTCTGACTCATGTTCAGAGTATGTTTCAAAATAGATACTAATAAGCAAGTGGGGAGCTAAGACACTTTTTCTCTGCTGTGCACTGATAACCAGGCAGATTCAAACCGAGGACCTTTGGAGTGTAGCAACGTAGCCTCTTCAGCTTGAGCTATAAAGCCAGCTGGTGCTTAGTTTAGGCTGTAGAGTTCACTTGTTCTTATCTCTTGCTGTAAGTAGACTGACTGCCACTACATGGGACAGTGAACCACACTAGGGCTATGTCTACACTGGCGGGTTCTTGTGCAAGAAGTCTTGCGCAAGAAAACGTCCACACTGCCTGTGTGAGCTCTGCTTTTGTGCAAGGGCTCCCATGGCAGTATGGACGCTTTCTTGCGCAAGAAAGCTCTGATGGCCATTTTAGCCATGTTAGTTTATCAAACTTCATTTTAAATAAAGTAAAACAT